TGATGTAGGAATGTCAAAATTGAGTTCTGTTTGTTGCGTTTTAAACTAGATTCATAGGGTATAAACCGTATAAATTTTAGACCCTGTTTATGTCTGTACCATTTATGGTGATTTTTCAAAGTTGACTGAAATATTGTACCTGTTCTGTCTTTCACTGGATAAAGCAGCAACTTGAGGCTTGAATTTGTATGACTTGCGTTCTGAATCTTATGAGGGTGTTCTCTGGAAAGTTATAGCCCTTTGAATGTATTTTCCAAAGGTATAACTTTTACTAATTTTGGACTTATAAAACTTGAGATATGATTTTTCATATAGGGTTGCGCGAAACTGGAAAATCCTGTTTTCCTAGTATCGATCTTACTTTCATTTTCTACTTCAAATTTGGAGTTGGTCAGTCATTGTAGGTAGGGTTTTGAGGTTGTTCATGCCTTTAGGACTAATCGTTATCTTTTCACTCCAAAGTCATCTCTTCGCTTTAAATTAATGGTTCATTTGGATAGGCACCTGACTTGTAATCGAGTTTTACTTGCGAATTCCACTTATTAGGTCTTGGAGTCCAGTCTTAAGTGTTTGCCTTGATTGTTCTAGGAGGTGCCGGCGAGTAAAGCCATACTTGGGAAGGAAACTTTTGAAATTATCCTTGTTTGATCAGGTGAGTGCACCACTCCCCTGAATTATTGCTAAACTGGTTTTCTGTACTTGCAACTTGCTATTTGAATATCTTTCCTGACTTTTTATCTTATATGAGATGAGAGTGTACTTTATCACACTTGTTCTCTTGCCTGTACTGAACGAACTAGAATCTATTACTTGTACTTGTTATGTACTTGAACTTGTTACTTACACTTGTTATGAGATCGTTTGGAAATGTGTCCAACGATCGTCCTGTTAAACTTGAGCTCAGCCTCATGGGGAGTTAATTAAATCGAGCCAGCAAGGGCTTGGTCGAGATAATTGACAATCCTTGGGTACCTGTTCCTGGGGGAATCTTTGGGTATTGAGACTCTTGATTCCGGTATACTCGAGTATTACCATTCCTGTTCCTGTTTGGCGTTCGGGTCCGGTAAGGGGTATGATTGGTGAACGGGATTTGACGTTAAAGTGGTATTCTACTGGATTGGTTTCCTTATTTGAAAGTTGACGGAGGGTCAACGTAGTTGGATCAAGTACTGCAACGGGGAGTTTGACTCCTGAGAGCCACCTGTATCCTTTTATCTAAGTTGTTTTGTTCCTCTCCTTATTTGCTACACTTATGTGATTAATTGAGCATGAAGTTCTTTGGTTCTTGACTGTTATTATTTTGGGCACCTCATTGAACTTTTAGCTCACCCTGTTCCGTTATCCTTATTTTCTCTACAGGGAACCATCTTTTGGAACTTCAATGTTTTGAGGAATGAGTTGAGCTAGTTAGAAATTCTTTTGATTCTTTTGGTATAGCTCCTCGTCAAAATTGGAAACCCTAAATGTATCTTAATACAATGTTTCCTTTTGGATTTGTAAACTTACTAATGTGTATATTATAAAGTGTTTCCTCATGTTTATGTAACATATGTATTCGGGAATGTACATTCTTTCATGGCAAACAAAGTTTCTTGTATTTGGTCGGATCCTGCATGGCGGCGGCCCTTCCATTTCGTTTTGATTCTTGTAGTTTTATTTCAGTTTTGATGGAGGTTTGACTGAGTCCCGGCGAGAGCCGGGCAGGCGGTCTGCCGAACCCTTTGGTTCATCTTAGGGGGAGGTGGGGCTGTCACAAGATTAACAACATAAGAAAATCACAACAGTCATTCAAAGGAGAGCACTTAAGCAAATAATAGCATTTTCTCAAGTTACACATAATCAAATAACATGAATTGGAACACTCACCAATCAATTCAAACCCTTCACTTTAACCCTGGTTCGTCCTCTTGAACTCTCTCAAGTCCTGTGATCATATACTATATTAAAAAACTAGCAATACAAAGCCAAAATACATGAAGAAATTGAGGTTTCAAAACTTCATTTAGAAAATGCATCAATTTACAAATTTTATGCCAGTATAAACTATCAAAATATAATATTTTCTTGTTGCAATCGAGGAAGAAACCTCATGTGCTTACTAAATCAACGTTGCAAAAGTCATTTGGAGTACAAGAGCATCGATTATAGTCAAATGTTTGAAGAAATTAGAACAAGACTTTCAAAATACAAAGTTGAAAATTATCCGACCTAAAATGATTTGAAGAAACTCATTTCCTTTCATTTAAATCTCAATTCCACTCATAAAACCAAGCTCAAAATGATTTAACAACTCCAACTTAAAGTTGGAAATGGAAGCAAGAACAAGTTTAAGAAACAGAATTTTCTCTAGTTTTGCACGACATTGTTTGAAAAATCATATCGCAAGTTTCTTAAGTCCAAAATTTATAAAATTTATACCATTGGAAAATAGATTGAAAAGACTACAATTTTCCAGAATACATATTTATACTTTTCTGTCCATAAATCAGTCGAATTCTAGTTTCAAGTTGCTGCTTCATCAAGTAGAAAAAAAGAGCAGGTGTGAAAATTCAGTCAACTTTGAAAAATCGTAGATATTCATAGGAATTGAGAAAATTTCTGAAATTTTCACGGTAGAATGCATTCTAAATTTAGTTTCAAATGCAATAAGCGAAACTCAATTTGGATTTTTCTACATCAAGATATAACAGATTTTTCAAGACTGTTTAGAGTCTTCTGCGGGAAAATTTTCAGCAATACTTCCTCTTATTTTCTTAACTTTTCCATCCAAACTCAACACCAACATTCATATCAATCCAACCTCAATCATAACCACAAGTTACAAGCTATAAAGTACACTTGTTTAAGGCCACAAAACCATTCAAAATATCAAATTTTCTAACTCAAAATCAATCACAACAAAGCTAAAATTTGAAATCCTAAGCTGAAAATTTCAACTACAAGCTGAAATTTTCCATAAGCAAGCCAAAATAACTTGTAAAAGCTAGAAGATTCACATAGCAAAACTACTAAATCCTGACCAAGCTCAAAGCATCATATAAAAGCTGAAATTTCACCATCAAAACTGAAAATTTTGAATCACCACTCAAACCATGAAATTTCTTATGAAAACTACCAAAATCAAGCCCTAAATCCACTCTTATGCAAATATTAAAAGAAAAGAGGGCATCTTGATATACCTACCTTGAAACCCTATGAAAATATGGCAACCAAGTGTTTCTTTCTCCAAAATCTTTCCACCAAAGCCCTTAATCCTCCCTAAGTGTCAACTTTTATGGAGTGATTTGTAAGATTAAGGTGAAAACTCAAGATTCAAGCAAGAACTAGAGGTTGAAGATGAAGATGAAGTTTTCCTTCCTTTTTTTCTCTCCAAGGAGTAGGCCAAGAGAGGGGAGAAGATGATAGGATATTTGGTCAATTTTTTGTTAATAAAAGGTTAAGAAAGGTGTTAGTCAAAGTCAATGGTCCAATGCTTTAATGACAAATGGCCTCCAAGGGTTAATCCTCATCCTACTGTCTCTCAATCACTAAAATATCTAGCCAACCTCTAATTATCTCTTAACACCTTATAAAATAATATCCCTTTACACAAAACTCCTCCTATTCTTCATAAATTAATTATCTCTTAACACCTTATAAAATAATATCCCTTTACACAAAACTCCTCCTATTCTTCAAAAATTTATCGCACATACCTCACTAGTGAGTTCCACTTCCATAATACATTATAAATTTAAAATGTACTAATTTATACAAGGAAAATGATTTAAAAACTTGACTCACTTGTAAAAATATCTAAAAAATGAAGGCAATAGGGTAAAGTAACGAAAATGTATTCGAAAAAATAAAATAAAATAAAAATAAAGAAATTTTTCGGATTCTCACATCATCTATCATTTGATTATGTGTAAATTAGTACAAAAAATGGTTTAACAAAATAAAGTTAGTAGGCTCATTAAAGGAAAGTAGAAAAATTACATATTTTAAAGCAACTTCAAAGAAACATAAATGTTAGAATGATATAAAATAGAAAGAAATTTCTCTGTAGAACTAACATAAAAACTAGGGTACATAATTTATATTTCTTTGGAAAAGATATTATTGTTCTTGTTTTCATTATGGAGAGAGATAACTTAAATGTTACAAAAAGTTTTGGTTTAATGTATAAAAACTAAGGGCTGGATTTAGCCCCTCTTTTTCTATGTTTGTATACTTTGCAACCTCATGGCACTAATCAATATGATTTAGATTTAGTGTTTGATATTTTGCATAAGCAAGATCACTTTATCGATGATCTTAAGACTATTTTCAAAACGGTTCTGTTTGCTTCCATATCTTTGCAATTTATATTTTTGTGGAATAGAACAAATTCAAATAAATTTGGAATTCATTTTATTTTCTAAATAATTAAATTATCATATTTATACAGTCAATTTATAATCATCTTATAACGACTCAAAATTATAAACACAAACAATGTCTAAACCAAGAGTAATAATCGACCTAATTTGTGTGCAGTACCTATCAAACTATCATCATGGTTGTTGGTTCGATTTCATAGGCTAATTATGCTTTGTACCAAAAAAAAAAAAAAAAACTAATAATGTAAGGTTACAAGGGGAAGTATGACAAAATGAAAGAAAATTAATTATGTTTATCTTTCCCCAATGAAAGAATTTTATAGAAAAATGGCTTATTAGACAATAACAATTTAGACATAAGAAAGAATTTTTTTAATATTTAGAGTAATTATCACTAATTTTCCATGTATTATCCAGCCTTTTTTAATTAACCAAACTTGCAACCAAAAGGTCCTTTATTTTCCATTAATTGACTTTTGCTTACTCCACCATTTTTAGCTCCACCGAATCAGACTAAAAGGGCCCCCAACAAATCGCAGATTACCACATGATTCAAAAATTTCCTTTTAAACTTAAAAAATATTGAACTGTAATTTTAGAAACGGTTCAATTCAAAGTAGAAATTCATCTTTCAGTTAATTTGTCACATGTGAGAAAAGAAATCTATCTTATTGTTGTTCTTCTTATCCCCTCCCCTAACACACTTCTGCTTCTTCAGGCCAAACCCCTCTTCTTCTTCTTCTTCATTTTCTAAGGCCCTCACCCTTTCAGATTCCTTTTTCTTTTTTTTTTTTCTTTTGATTGTTCTTTGAAATTTAAATTTGTTTGAATTGAGAATTCTACTGCCAGCTGGGGTCGGAAGAACCCTTTTAGTTTCTTGAATGACGGAGCCTCAAAATTAATTCTTTGGGTGAGTATTCTTATTGGGTTCTGCAAAATTTTGGACTTTTTTTAGTCTTGCAGAAAGTTTACTGGTTTATTTGTGCATTTGAGAGTTTGATTAGATCTGCCCATCTGAACCTTCTTAATGTCTTTGTCATTAATTCCTAGTGCTAGAAAATTGTTTTTTCTTTGCCCCCAAATGAAGAGGCTAAAGACCCTCTCATACTTGCTGTTTGATTTGTCAAAGTTTTGTAATTTTGGAACTTGTTATTTTTTTCGGATGAAGACTTTAAAGCTGCAATCTTGTTAAGCTGTTTGCTGGGTTGGCTGTGGTATTATAATTGTTTGCTGGCTGTTTAAAAGTCTTGAAAGTGAAAGGAAAAATTAGAAAGGACGAAAGTGTATGTGCCCAAACATGGAGAAAGATTTTTTTTTTTTTTTTTTCCAAAATCGCATGTTTTATGTTGTTCTTCAGTTTGTTTGGTTAAATAGCTATTGATTTCCCCCAAAAAAAAATATAGATTATAGAAACTGTATACAGGTCAGAAATTTGGCAGTGAAAACAAGTGGTTATCTGGAAAGTTGTTGGAGAATAACTGTATACCTGATTGTTAGGAGCTTAATTTTGTTTTTAGAATGATGATTTTGACTACTCAATTTTAAAACATGAATTTTGAATGGTTTGGAGACTATTTTTTGACTTCATGGATTTGCTAATTTTTGTGCCACTCTTTATTGTCTGTAAAAATACTAGCTGGATTTTGCCTCTGCTAATTTTCTCTATTTCTAAATTATTTTTTGACTTTTAGTCTGATTGTTTAACTGAGCTAAAAGGTGATCACATGGCACCTGATGACTGTCAAGTGTATAACTCGAGTTTTTTAAACCAATTTGGAGGTGGTAGTTACCTAAGAATTTAGATTGTTGTATACTTACTGCCAGTAGTCGTGTTGGGTTTGATTCAACCAATTGCCTTTGTACGAGTGTTAAGGTTCTTTTCCTTTTTTTTTTCTTTAATTTCAACAGCAAGTTTAGATGAAAATAGGAGTTTGTTTGAGTTGAAAATGAAAACAATTTGTGGAAGTGGGGGGATTTCGGATTTTGTGATGTCACAGATTCTTTATTATGTGATTTCTTTTCAATGCGAGATGGGTAATGTGGTACATTTTTGTGCCTCTACCCTTAAGAAGCTTTTCACAGAAAGTGGAAATGAAGAATATGATTTACAGGTGAAAATGTAAGGTGGAGAAAGTTTAAAATGTGTTATCTCTATGAAGCAGAATTACTTGATTTCTGGAAGTGTTCAAATAATGGATATGAACCATGGATAAGACATAGATCAAATTATATTCCACTTAGTTGAGGCTTAAATAGAAATAAATGCTTTGGCAAATAATGCTCAAAGGATTACACTTTGGACTTGATCTTATGTAATCCTATTGACCAATCACATTTAAGGGGATGTAAAAAGAGGGATTCACGGAGTTGGACTGTGTCAATTATGTTTTTGTTGAGTATTCATGCATAGATGTTGATTAGTGATCTGGTATTGTTTTCTTGACTAGTTGCTGGGCACTTAAAATTGTACTTCAGTATTTCTAGTCTGACACTATGAGCTGGAGGCCACCCATGATGCATTTGATTGGCCACTTTTCTGAGCTCATGACTGCGAGCTGTGCTACATTAAAGCAGTGCCAATTAAAGCAAAAGCAGTTATATTGTTTTGAACATTCACAAAATGGCAGCTAAAACTTTATCATTGCAATCATGGTTGTTAGCCCAAAGTTTTGAACAGATTTTCTGGTAGTCAAAATTTTCCTGCTGGTTAAAAATGGCACACCAAACAACAACAGGCCTAAGTAATATTGAATGCTGATTATTCAGTTTGCTAAGGAAAAAAAAATCTATGTATGGTTGGCTAAAGACCTCTGATGGTTCTTCAGTCCAGTTAATTATGAAAGTGCATCTCAGTTGGACTTTTATCCTGTCTGTGTCTTTCTATTTTATTCTCCTCCTTTTTGTGTTTTTGGGTTGCTTTTGGCCTTAGCCAAATGATTTTTTTTCCTGCTCTCTTTGTGGAATTTTTCTCTTCAACTTAACCAGAGATTATTGTTCTCCATGTTCTCCAGTGGATTATAATAATTTACAGCATCTTTCTTTTCTCAGGAACAAAGTGCTTCAAGTAGTTGTTCCTGATCCATTAGGAGCAACTAACTTGTTGGACCGGTCAACTCAGAAAACTTTTACAACTTATATTAACATGCTGGGGCACTATGGAGAGATGTTGTCAACTTAGAATTAGTTAAGATGAAAAACTCGCAGGTAATTGATTGTTTCAATAGAGATTTTGATGGTAATTACTGAACTTCTATCTTGGGTGCCATAAAGACTCACAAAATCTTGTCCAGTTCTTGACCTGCTGCGATCAGTTCTTCTTGCCTGTGTACGGTGAATCATTTTTCCTATGATCGCCGCAGATAATTGGATAACCACAAAAACTCAGGAGCAAATAATTGTTTGTTATCTTGGAAGGATCATAGTGCATTGGAACAATGTTGTTATGTTAATCGTGGTGATGTTATATGCTTTATAATGTCCCATAAATATACACATTTCAGAACTTGAAGTGTGATAACTTATTGCATGGAATTTATTGCATGTGGCCTTTGAAACCAAGAATAGCAGTGGAGAATGAACTTTGAGCGCCATTTTCTGTTAGTTTTCATAATCAATCTGTAAAGATCTTGATGAATGAGCTCCCATCCACAGGGTCCATCTTACTTATGCCATGGTCGTAATTTCATATGCAAACGATGAGGCTATGTTGACCAAAGCTACAGTTCTTCAAATTTATATCTCTCTGTCATCTGAAATCAAGAGCATATTGTAAGGGTCTGTGATTGATGATTCATATGTTAGTATTAGAAGAGAAGATGACTGGAGAAGTGTTTGAATTGATTTAGATTTAAACATGGAGAGTTCCCATGTGAAGGATCCGATCCCACTCTTTCTATCTGCATGTCATTGCGTTTTCTTGGTGATATTGCAAATGGTTAGCAAATCAATAGGAAGAGAGCATTATATGGCTTTTGATACAATGTCATGGTGGTCCATCCGCATTTCTTCACTGGCTTTTGAATTGTAGGAGACAGCAAGTCCTGTCATTCTGGTGCCATATTGTAGTCAAGTATGCATTATCTGTGGCACCTATATAAGGTTGTAAGAATGTTTGGATATTTCCTCAATGAATGTTAATGAAAGATGGATGCATGATGCAAGCTTTTTGCAGCTTTGGTCCAGAGTTATGAGGGTTTGGTGCTTTGTACTTACTAGTCCAGCGATTTGTGATGAATAGAAGAATAATAGCCTCCTTTAACTATTTGTGCTACTTATACCTCCAAAAAATACAATCAACTTCTAATTGATGTATCGTCTAATAGAGGAGACTTGGATAAGGATACTTTATCTGATTGCTGAAATTACAAAATTTCTCATGTAAATGTTTGTACCAACACAAGAATTCACACAGACACGTGTGTAGCTAGTATTATTTGAAGGTTGTTACATAAATAAATTGATATCCTGATTCTTGACTAAAAAAATGTTTATTTTAGTATTAAAAAAATCCATTGGAATGGCATCTGAGAGATTATCTTTCCCACTTTATGATGGAAAACAATGTAAATAGGACTGTAGGAGTCACGATGCTAAGATGTTTTAAAGTCAGCCAAAGTTGCTAGAAGTTTTTGTACTTTTTAGAACAAACAGCTTATGGATAATTCTTGGTCAATGGATAAACAACATAAGATAGATTTTATGCTAATTTTTCTGAACTTAAGAGACAAAAGTACCCTAAAATAAAAAAAGGCTGCAATTATTCCAGAAGTCTTTCAACTGTAAAGCATTCTTTGATCCATTGAACTGCGTGATATTTTCCTACTGATCAGGAGTTGATTCTGAGTAATTATTTGGTTCCCTGTTCATGAGGATCATATTCTAGTGCCATATTCTAGTCAATCATGCATTATCTCTGGCACCTATACTACGTCGTCAGATTATATGGATATTTTCCTCAATGAATGTTAATAAAAGATGGATGGATGTTGCAAGCTTTTAGCTGCTCTGGTCCAGAGTTATGAGAGTTTGATGCTTTGTTACTTACTAGTCAAGCGGTCAGTCTTTTACATGCTTGTAGTACAAGTGTTTGTTAAATTGCTTCAGTCAGTTATGCTACTACTTGGTGATTATGAATTCTTTTTGTTAAATTTTTTTTTCCAGTTTTAATCCCAGGATTTACTCCTTGTTTCTTTTCTGTGCCCCTATATTTGAGAGGATACTGATTGTAACACTTGGTATTGAAAAAGGATGAATGCAAAAGATGCTATTTTTAATAGATTGGAACGTAAGTTTGAATATCTATTTTGCAAGTTTATGCAGCATTGTTGTTACTCGGAATGATGTTTTCACCTTAATCGCAATAGCCCATCAATATTCTAGGAAAAGAGTATCACAAAACCTTGTCCACATTGAATTTTGGAATTGAATGGGTGGTTGAGTTGTTGCAAGTGACAACTGGCTTAGTAGAATTATGAGGAAACCAAATTATGACTAAGTTGTACTACATACTAGAAGGTTGGTCAATGAATTGGTGAATATGTAATTTTCAATATTTGGCTATTTCTATCTAAATTTTCTTTATTGCGTGGGAATGCCACTAATCAGGATTCAGTTCCCTGTAGTTCTTCATCTCACATTACTTGCCGTACCAAGTTTTTAATGTCTTTTTCGCATCACCAGATTGTGACTTTTGTTGGAAAGTGTTTGTGTATTATATATTTGCTTTCTGGTGGTCAGATGTCCCAATGATGATTTATTACTTTATTTCTCCTTGTTACCCAGACTGTAAAGATGTTTTGAGGTAGGTAAGCTGAAGGTGATGCATATTTCCCTTCAAGGACAGAGAGGAGCCAGATTTGGAGAATTGTGTAGCAGTTCTGGACCTAACATGCAAGCAGCCTCCCAATTTTACTCTGTATTTTACTTCTCCAACAGGTCTCTCGCCTTTGCCATTCTTTTGTTACTTAGTGCAGATGTTCATCTATTTAATCTAATCTTTTAAACCCGTTTTAACCTGCATGTGTATTAGTCGCGGAAGCAGCTGTGACATATTTGCTCGGACAAAAATTAAACCTCTCAGCTCAAGTAAACTTGCCAGAAAGCTCGACCTAACTCTAGGATCTTGGACTTGTAAGTTTCCTTGTGCAGTCCGACCGTGCAGGCTATCTGTGATTCCGAACACAAATGATGGTCACCCATGTATATCTGTGACTGAAGAAGATAGGAGGACAGACCAAGCCTGGAATGATGAGCTGGAGACTTTTCTGAGCAAATGGTCACCACCAGGGTACTTGTGGAGGGGATTATCTGTTCTTATCTTGGCTGGGCAGGTCATTAGTAGGACCATAAAGGGCAAAGTCCACTGGAGAAACACCCTCCAACAACTGGAGAGGGTTGGACCTAAATCTGTAGGTGTCTGTCTCTTAACTTCAGCTTTTGTTGGAATGGCCTTCACCATACAATTTGTGAGAGAGTTCACTAGGTTAGGGCTGAATAGAGCTGTTGGTGGTGTCTTAGCGCTAGCTTTTTCAAGGGAGCTGAGTCCTGTAGTCACATCAATTGTAATTGCAGGACGTATTGGGAGTGCATTTGCTGCAGAATTGGGCACCATGCAAGTTTCTGAGCAAACTGACACGTTGAGAGTTCTTGGTGCAGATCCTGTTGATTATCTTGTTACACCAAGGGTTATCGCTTCCTGCATTGCTCTGCCATTTTTAACTCTAATGTGCTTCACTGTAGGGATGGCGTCCAGTGCCCTTTTGGCTGATAGTGTTTATGGGATTGGCATAAACATAATCTTGGATTCTGCTCATAGAGCTCTTAAATCATGGGATTTAGTCAGTGCAATGATCAAGTCTCAGGTATTTGGTGGGATTATATCCGTAGTTAGCTGCGCTTGGGGAGTTACAACATTGGGGGGTGCCAAAGGCGTTGGAGAATCAACAACTTCTGCTGTGGTTATATCTCTTGTCGGTATTTTTATGGCTGACTTCGCTCTATCTTATTGCTTCTTCCAGGGAGCAGGAGACTCGCTGAAGAATTTATGACTTTCCGCTAAGAGCTTTAATGGTTCAATCTTTTGTTGGATATTTTCTTGTAAAACTTATTTGTCGTCTTATAGCTCGTACCCTTTTTTGGATGCATAAAACCAAGGTATACATATTGGCGCTGCTTTTGAATCTAGGTTGGTCATTCCCGTCTCTCAAACACTGTTTAAATCAGGATAAAAAAGTAATCATTCTCCTTGAATGCCAATATTCTGAGATCTTGAATGGACGGCTAAAGATGCTTTTTTATCATCGTATGCCCTGGCTATTCCGTGCATGATCACTTGAAGTTATGCCTCGTTCAAAGTTCTCGCAATGCATTTGAAAAAACTTTGAGCAAAATCGGCTGTAAATTTATTTCATTTGGACTGCAATCGTACAAATCCCATTTAACCTCGACTTTCCTAATTTCCTCTCCCCCCCCCCCCCCCCTCCCCCTCTCCTCCTCCTCCTCCTCCTCCTCCTCCTCCTCCTTCTCCTCTACCTATCAAGTTCCCTAAATGGTAGTAAAACCAGCTTTACTTGAGTTGCCTGAATAAAGACTACGAGGAACCTACCTGGTCAATGTAGAAAATCTGTTTACTAGCATTAGATTAAGAAATAAGTATTGCAGCTCCTTTCTTAACCAATGCAAGCAGTAAGAAACTAAGGAAAGTAAATCTTCTATCTTGAATCAAGTACCTCGTTAAAGACCAAGTAGAAAATTTATTAGCATCAGATTAAAATATGCCAGTGCCTCTCCGTGTAGAAATTCTCTGTCTACTGCATCTTCTACATCTACTTGTAAGAAATTTGGCAGAGACGACTTATTCTGATCCCAGAAAATTTATCTGTGGAATTATATATTTTTCTGATTTCAATTTCTTTGCACTTCTATGTGCAAGTGCTCATATTGTTTAATAAGGCCACATGCAATCAAATTTAGGCTTTCAAAATGATTGTTATGCTGCCAATGTCTAGGATTGATTTGTGACTCTATTCCACAATTTTGTATTTGCCGAGGCTATGGCTGTAATGGTAGTTAAGGTATGCCATCCAATAATGGAATGGCAGCCTCTGAATGTGAATGCAGCTATGGACCATTTTGGTATCCTAAATCATGTTGGTTTAACAAATCAAATAATGTTTTTACAAATCTTGCCATTGATTATGGCAGTTGTTCAATTGTATATACTGGACTAACCTTTAATCTTGCTACCTGTTCAGCTATTAGCAACATTGAGGCAAAAAGTATTATTAACTTTACAATTGGTACACTCCGTCTAGATTAATTCATATATGAGGTCTAATATAATTCGCAGCATTTGGTATTTGTAAAGATTGGTTTTTGCTGTGGTAAATTTCAAAAGAATTCTGCTTTGCCAAAGTGAATATTTTTGCTTTGTTGGTTGGTTGGTTTCTGCCATTGTTCCGTTGAAGGAATTTACATCTTCTGTCTCTTTGTTTCTTAGTGATGCAGTTCTTGGTATTTGAATTTTTTGTGATTGCTTTAGTTTATTTTTTTCCATAGACAGAATAAATAACACACACAATTAAATTAGAAACACTCAGGAGTCATCGCTAAATTGGATCCTAAAGTCAGTCTAAGGGGGACCCACAAACCAACACCATCCATCTAATTGGTGATAGGAGGTGCGGCTAAGGACTTTAAACCCAGAGTAACTACCCCACAATTAAATTGCTTTAGTTTATCGCTCTGTTTTTTGTTGGTTTCTTTATTTGTGATTTCATGTACTACGAGTATTGGATACTTAGGAGAGATTCATGTTGTTTGTTTTCGTCTACTCAATTATTATACACGACGGCTGTAGAAAGATTAGCAACCTTTTTCTTTCTATTTGTTGGATTAATGTTAGATCCGTATTGATTATGAACAGATAACAAGTAATGGTTAATAAGATTCTAATATCTTTGGCATTCCATATCCTATTCTGTTAATGTAGAGGAAATTCAAAGTTCTCCTTCTAAGATTATTCTTTTCTAGCTATCTTGGTTCTTAGCCTGTGCGTAGTACCAGGTTGTAGTTGGTTGATGTTTGTGTTACTCTACACAAATTCAATGTTATCAGCAACACTAAGGCAATGTTGAATAATTTAATTTAGCACTTAAATTTAATGAGTTTAGATTTTAACATATTCAAATGCGTTTGATAACAAAAAATAAAACATTTTAATTAATTAACTGACACTGAATTTTCATGCAAAATTTGTTTTAAAAAATATGTGATAAATTATTCACTTATTACTTAATATGATGTATATTCAAATATATCAGATTTAACACTTCAAAATTCAGTAATTTAATGGATTCAAATTTCAAATTTCAAATTTATTAAATCCGCCATGAGATTCAAATCCATGTAAGATTATGCCTGATCCCCTTTTGCAAGCCAATTTGTCCTTCTCTTTTTTTGCAAGCCAATTTGTCTTGTTTTCAGTCAGGTCTGCAATTGAGATGCACTTGGCTCTTATGACCTGCAACTAGAGTGTTCTTGGTAACTCAATGAATCCTAACCTCTTGTCAGTCAGGTCTGCAAATTGTACACAATCCCTTAAGTTGCTGTAATATATGTTCCAATTTGTATCCCACTCCCAACAAACTAGTTATATATTAATCTTTTTTGGATTGTGAATTATTTGCATAATTTTATTTATTTATAAAATCAATACATTTTTTAACCATTTTTTTATCTCAAGTACATCATATGAAAAAAAAAGTGTTGCACTATTTTTTTCAAAAAATTATCCCAAATAATCTACCATATAAACATAGTTATCTTTTCTCCCTATCAATGTGGGGATCCGGTACACCATAAGTATCAAGTAAAAAAAAAAAATTTGCCAACAATTATTTTTGAGATTTTCTTTACAGAGTAATATTAGTTAAGACTTGCCTGCTTAGATAAAACATTTTAAATAAAAAAATTAAATGCATGAAAGCAATTAAATATCTGCCGGCACAGATTTTAATTCAAAGCACATACGAATTTGATCCTGTTCATGGGCTATTGTGGTCCTGGCGATCTCTGTTGGATCTCTTTATTAACATATATATAAAAGAGCGAATGCCTTGGCTCAAAAGAGGTGCTTGTGCTGGTGACGTGGTCAATCGTTATTGGCTAGAGAGTGTTCGTCCAAGTCGCCCGTGCTCCTCACGTGAGTTTACTTTGGATTCCATTGTGCCTCCAAAGAGGAAAAAGTAGTACTCGGTCTCCAAAGTAAAGCTTTGCATCCAAGGAGTATGTCAGATGTTTACCTGCTTACCATCTCACTTTCTCTGCCTCGGACAGAAAGTTGAAGGTTGAAGTTGTGGGTAGTTGTCAGAGTACTTCATCAAGACAGCAACAAACGCCCCTTGTAAATACTCCCAAAAATTGTTCACAAATCCAGCTGGTGGAGCGGAAATGGCCTTGACCATTTTTTTTAGTGAACTGAGAAATGCTGTGCGAGGAAGGAATTAGGTAAGCTTATACCTTTAGCTTCTCCCAGGATGCTAATCTCTTCCTCCAAGAACTTCTGCTTTTGTTCAACTTTGATAGACGAACACTCTTCCTTTCTCGCTCTCCCTCTCTGTCAAACGATGACCAGATCTATCATTCATCTACATGTTTTCTTTCTTCTTTTCTTCTTTGTTAATCAACAAAAATTAAAAACAAATAAGGCACATTGATGTTTTTTTGTTTAGTTTTTGTTTCTTTCTTTGTTTTCTTGAATTTGCAGTTACTCACAATCGCATTTTGCTTCTCATAGATTGCGGACAATGGATTGAAAGTCCACGAGAAGGAGAAAAAGAATCAACTTTCCAGGTTGTGCGATTTTCTTTAATTTATTTTTCAGTCTTTTTCCAATTTTACTCTAGCCTTCAAATTTTTGTTTCCGTTTTTTTTTGTAGGAAAAGTTTCTAATTTCTGATCTCTTGCTTAGTACTTTAGTTTTGTTGCTGTTAGCGATCTCATTTCTGCTGTCTATTGGACAGATAGGGAACTCATTTTTCTTTTAATAAATTGAGGGAAAACTGGAAGAAGAGTCGACGGGAGGAAGAAAAAAAGATTTAACTTTTCAAGGTTCGAATTTTTCTGTAGTTTATTTTCCAACCATTTTTCTAATTTTACGCTAAACTGGACCTTCAAGTTTCTGCTTCCTTCTTTTTTTTTTTTTTGGCTTTTCCATTGAAGATTATATGTTTTAATTTCTTGTTTAGTTATTTAGTTTTGCTGCTGCTAATAGTCTTATTTTCCATTTATGTCATATTTTGATTTCTGTTTAGTAGATTGAGGAAAAACGCAAGAAAAATCCACAAGAAGAGATAGATTTAACTTTTTGGGTTGTGATCTTTTTTTTTCCCCAATTATCTTTGCAGCTCACCTGAAATTCAGCTTTCAAGTTATATTCTATTCATTGGTGTTCACAAAGTAGCTGTAGGTATTATTTCTTAGTTTTGCCTTTTATCTTTACTATTGCCTTCTTAACACGGATGGTTATGCATCCATGTTATACATGGTACTGGGAGATCCTGTTTGAATTGTGCTTGGAATAGATGTCTTTGTCATTACTTTTCCATTGCAGTAGTTGTGACTTTTATTTAGAGTATGCATAGAGTGGTGTAGTTGCATTTACAAGAGTGGTTAACAGTTATTGCTAAAATGCCTTATGGGTGTCTGAGTTTTGCAGCGGAACCAAAAGTTTTTATGCTGTAATTTGCTTCAGTACAATATTGAGTTTTTGGTTGAGCTTACCATGTCTGGTGTATCAAATTCCAAAAAGTCCTTGCTCTCAAATTACGTTTGTGCAGTGCAAGAAATTCTGTTACTTGCCAAAAGTGTGTATATTTGGCCATACTCTTAACAGTGATTATTTTTTTTTGGCCATCTCACCTTTTGTTCAATTTGTTGTATGGGTTCCAGATTTTTACTTTTTCCTCCATTTATTTGTCTCGAACATTCTGTGCAGAAGGCATTCAATGGAAAATCATATTGTTTCTTAATGTTTATGTGCCATCATCCTGTACAAGAAGGAAAGATTTTTATGTATGCAGGGATTATACTTGGTTCAGAACCCATGATTGCAATGTTTTTTTCTTTTTTCTTTTTGGGTTTTTTTGAGTATCCAAAACTGATCTGGTGTCTTTAATAGGTATTTTGTGTTAAGCTGATTGCTAATAGTGATAGGAGGGAAGCTGCTTATATTATTCTCAATAGCTTTAAGGCTACTGTCGCGCCCCACTTTTCGC